TATTATTATTATTAATTATTATTATTATTATTATTATTATTATTATTAAATTATCGCTACTTACTATTTTTGTAACCATTGCTGTCGTATTATCACGGTAGTTCACGGTAGTCCATACTTTGTTGTAATGTCTTGCACTTTATAATGCTGCATTTAAAATATGTCATTACTTCTGCTACATATATTGTCGTAATGCATTGTTGATAGCATTCGCTATCAATGTTAGTCACGCACTATAACCGAAGCATATTTACAAATGTAAACTTTTCAACAAATTATGTATAGAAATAATTTTATCATGAATAGTTTCGTCAAGAATACTTTCTTTGTGAATGTGAAACTGATAAATTTATTTTTATTTCAGAACTTTTCAGAGCTGGAAAACAGAAATCGTGCAAAAAATTTGTATATCTGAACTGTAAATAATTTTGTGAATGAAGAAATAAGCATATCAGAGAAGTGTCTTGCGAGAAGGAAACTTTAAAAAATAATAATTTCTGGACGGAAAATTGCTTCCCATATTTCAATTTTCTGTGATTTCAGCATAATAGAGTTTTATTCTTTCTGTCGTCTTCCTCACAATTTCTATCAAAAAATACCAATCAAAAATTGAATTAAAAATGAAATTTTCACTATTTGCGCCTGAAGGCTACAGTTTCAGCGGCCGTTATTCTGAAATTACTTATAATTTAATATCTTAGAATTGACTACTTTTTAATTTGTAAAGAACTAACATTTTTGCTCTTTGTTCGTACTGATTTCTTTTTTTCGCTATGCAAGTATATCTGCAGACTTAGCTGCCTATAATTTTACTGCACAGAAAGCTGAAAATACATTTGATTAATTGATCCAAAAAAGCTTTTTTAATATTTAAAGTAAAAATTTGTAAATTTTAGATTTTTCATTTTTTGTACAAATTCACAGATTTACTAAGAAATTTTGTGAAATGTTGAAAAGATTTTTGCAATATAATTCCATAGATACATACGTAATTCTTAGTGTCAGCAGCGTTCGTAAAAATAATCAACAGCAGTTATATCGAAAAATTTTCCCTTCTGTTGCATAGGTTCAACGCTCTTAATGATAATTTTGTAGGATTGCTCTAGTACGCTTTTACATCTCCATATTACTAGAAATTATTCTATCTAGTGACCAAATTTTTTGATAATTTTGGTCACCGTTTTCCACAAACCTTCTAATTCCTAATTTTTTAATTTCCCTAACAGAAATACAGTAGCTTGTCGTAATAAATTGAAGTCACAACGTTGCTTTGCATAAATGAATGAACACTTATCTCAGGTAAAACATTATCAATTTAAACTTTAGATGGAATATGTGCAAATAATTTATTTCATCCAATTTTTGACTGATTCTTTCTTTAATGTAGCAAAATTTCTTCCCAACAAAGATGTAACTTAATGTTGTCTGCTTTAATTTTGGAATCACTTATTTTCGCTAAAATGCGCAAAACAATCCTCAAATTTGTGCGAAATCTTTGCCTAGTCGCAGCAACTTCTCTTTTTTGCAAAACACAATAATTCATACAGAACTAGAACCAAATTTTCAGAGATTGTTATATTAATCACTAAGTTGCATTTCTCATATTCACTTTTTACTTTTAGCTATTACAAACTCAAACGGTGAAAAATTAATTTAAGTAATACAAAGTCTGACATCTCAAATGCTTATGACACATATTTCAGATGGTAATTTGCAATAGTCGAGAGAGTAATATTTGGCTAATAAATTCAAATTCAGTAATTATCGATCCGTTAAAATAATCACTTTGATAAAGTATTAGCCCTGTTTATTCTCCAAAAAACCTTTCAAAACTTTTGGACTTCAGGACCATCAGGCCTGAAGCAGTTGTTTGATAATTATTACCACTTTATTATGTGATATTATATGAACATGATTCAATTTCAAAATTTGAACAAAGAAAAGCTTCTGTTTAGAAAAACAGATGTGAGTAGTAATTAAATACTTTGTTGTATTTTCTGTCAAGTTCACACATTTCTAAAACTTATCACTAAAAGTGGAGAATAATTAAGACTTTTTGAAATTGTTCAAATGTATTCACCTCATATAAATCCGCATGCTTTCAGAGCTCAACGTGCACGACCGGGTCAATCAAGTAAGGTATGCACAATTCCTTCGATTTTTGCAGTATTTATGAATTTCAATTCATTCATTTATAACTTATTAACATTTTTTGTAAATTAGTCAAATTTTCATTCATAACTTTTTATTTACAAGCTTTCTATTTCATTAACTCAGTCTTAATAAGCAATCAAAAGACGGACCCAGCACTGATGAATAATTGATAATATATATAGCTTGCCTACCGAGGTAATATTTGAGTTTGTTCAATGAGTCATTGCATATCTGTTATCAGCGCCTTCTTGAAGTGACACTTTGCATTCTGTTCTCCAATCTGATAAGCTTTTTATTTTTGTCATCATTATTTTTGGTATAAAAAATTAGAAAATAAGCATTTTGTAATAAAGTTTGATCACAATCAGTCAAATATATAGCTAAAAGTAGTTACTTTCAAATGACAATGATAATTACCACAGTTTGTTTAATTATGCTCTTAATCAATATCATTATTCCACTATTTCATAATTTAGACCGAACTATTTTTAGTGGTGAGAAAATAAAGTAAAAAAGTGAAGTATAATCTGCTATGACCTTTGGCCGAAAATTTCGAGTTAAAGTTTAGATGAGGTAAAAAGGAAGTCGAAACTTTCAATTTGTTTGCGCAATAAATTGAAATATGAAAGCGGGTGCGAAAGATATTCATTTATTGTATTATATGATGCGTTTTTATTTCAATGAAAGAAAAGTGGAAATGTCAAATTTGAACTGGTAGTTCATTTCCATCTCTGATCTTTCCTTAGTAGATCAAAATTTGATACAATCAATTTAAAAGTTTGAAGAGTTTGGCTGCAGTTCGAGAAGGTTTTGAAAACCATGAATGACAGAGGTGAGATAAGGTAAGTGAAGAAGAAAACCATTAGTTACTGGAGATTAAGTGACAGCGACATTTGGATCAGCTTTTTCTTAAATATGAAACAAGTCTATGCAATCATTCATGATATCTGCTGCTTTTTAAACTAAATGCATTAATGAATATTGTCTTATGGTCTATCCAATAAGTGCTGTCTTCTGATTGATAATTATATTTTTTAAATGAATACCAACAGTGATAATGATAACAAATATAATGCTACTGCAACTATTACTATTGTTAATTACTCAGCTAGTCTTTTTTCGAGTATCACTATTTATCTATTATAAAACCATCACATACTCAAGGATAGAATGTCTAGAATGTTTAGTTGTTTTGTAGTAAACGGATACATTATACTAAAATAATAATAATTAGTACTATTATTGTTATTATTATTATTAATTAAAAGACAATGGCTGCTGATAATTTCTGATCAGTAAATATATTCTCGTAGCAGTCTGATATTAGAAGAAAATGTCTTGAAAAAGAACAGAATGTCACGTCTCTAGCTATTTTTCGTGTAATCGTTGTAAAAAATTTCACTTTTAACGAAAGACCTTTGCAATGTCAGGATAATATTGGCATTTAAAAGAAAATTTGCATATGAATCTCAGAAAAATATTGCTATTCACTGATTCCTTTTTCACTCATCTGTAAACAGCTAGTCAATACAAGATGCCGAGTTGTTTTTATTTGTTGACTCTTACGTCTTGGAGCACATTTACACTCTCATTTGCATAAATGTTTTATTACTATGTAATATTAAAAAAAAGGCTTATGTATTGAAATTTTAAATTTATCCATCTTTTCATGAGAACCAAGTATATTTTTTAAGTTTATCAGTAATGTTGCTCAAAATCATTGGTAGTTCCGTAGTTTTCGAACTCCTATCACAGTACTCATTACTCGCAGTATCCATGGGTTAGTGTCAGTATCCAAGACCATTATTTCATAATAATTACTGTCAGTATTCAAGATCGCTGTGTCATAATCTGCCACTTTTAATATTTCTTCTTGAAAGTACTCTTTTCAAACACTTTCCAATTACCTCAATTTTGTGTCTTTAAATTATAAGTTCCAGTACACCGTTGTTAGACATACCCTATCTGACAAATTGAAAAAGTTGACACGAATTATTCCACTTTTATCATTTTTGAAAAATTGTATTCACTTTAGCAGTTTGATTTTGACCACTTTCACACTATTCTACAGGGTATTATCCCTCAAATTTTACCTTGCATTTGACAAATAATTAGTTTTCTCATGTGGAATTTTGGTCCTTTATATTAATCTATTTTAAGATGAATGTGATATGAAGTGAGAGAGAAAGTTTTGACGTGCAAAATTTGCAGACAAATTAATGCATATGGATCATTTTGAAGAACACAAGGAATAAATTCTGATTTCAGCATAAAAAGGGAAGGAAATGATATGGTAATGATAGTAACAAATTATAATGATTAATATGTATCATGATAATTCAATATAGTAGTATTTATGGAGCTGCTTAACGGCTGCAAAGCAAATTCCTAAGTTCTTTGGAACTGAAGAAAAAAAGATATGAAAAGTATAGTTTAATGAATAAATTTCATGTTTCAACTAATTTAGGCAAAAATCAAAATTTTGAATTAAAAGTTAGTTAAAAGAACAAAAAACACCTAATCTAATCAATAATTCTTGTCAACTTCTTTTCCTCTTTTGTTTTGTCTGATAAATTTTCTCTAGCAAAATGAATTCAGAACACACCCTTAATTTGTTCACGTCTTTGCTTACACCTTTTAAGACGTATGTCATATATATCTTTTGACTTAACGTTATACCTGCTTGTAATTATTTGCTCAGACAGTTAGCAATTGAGACGCTTAGTCAGTCAGTCGTGCACTTACATCCCTGCTGATTAGTAAAATTATTCTGAAAATATTTGTTTGCTAAGCAATTCAACGTAGTTCGATTGAATTTTATTCTCTATTAATGCAACAATCATTAGTTCAAAGTTCATTCCATCGAAAAAGAACCGTTTCTCCCCTAAGTGTTCTCTTTTTTCATTCCAGATACAAGCGCATTCAATCATAAAATTACTATCGTCTATCTTATTGCAAATAAAAATATTAAAAAGATGGAAGAGCATTCTGTCGTCAAGCACGCATTCATTTTACTGTTAATGCTCAAATATGTAGTTTCAAAAGTTAAGCGAGCTCTTTTAGAAGCTAATTTTATTCCACCGATAAATATTGCAGTTTTCGTAGCCGAACTTGGAAGCAGTTCAACATTCGTCCCATTAGCAATCAAACACATTATTTCAAGCAATTTTATTTTGCTATTTTTAGAAACATTTTCTAAACCTGCCAGTTGTTAGCTATTTATCTGAAGTGATTACAAACTCATGAACTATCAGATCAAAAGATGCCCACATAAGTCTAGAAAGATGCAAGCAAAAACGTGTAGAAATTTAAGAATTGTCCACTTTACTTTTTCGAAACTTTTCTAGAACTGGTAATCACTGTTCTGATCAGACAATTCAATTCACTCTTTAATATTTGTTATTTCTAAATTTGCTCCTAACATCAATCGATTGATTAGTCCAAAATAGTAAGCCTGTTTGGGTCGAAGAGTTTCATGCACTGCAGCAGTCAGCTTTAGCATTTTGAAATGAGAATAAAATTTGAAAGAATGTTTCAGAACGTTGCTGGTTAGCGGAAAATTTGGTGAATTTGAACGTGAAATAAGCAATCAAATTGACTACTGGCAGATAACACATCCTCAACGCTGCGAAAGCTTTATCAGAGGTATGCTCACTTATGTTTCGAATTACTCTCAGAATGATTAGCTTATTAATTCAATAAACAGTTAAGAATACTTTCCTTTGATGATTCTGGGGTTTGACTTAATAAATGACTATTCCGACCAATATTTTGACTGAAATTTAACTAATTCCTTTAAAAGTAGAACGCTCATATTTACAGCTATAACTATACTTAACTCATTTATATACTAATGGAATTTATACTGCTGCACTGTGATTATTTAATGCCATCAAGTTAAAAAGAGTTAGTTACACGGTAAATGAAAATTTTTGCAGAACGACCTTTATCTGCTTCAGAAGTTGAAGATTCTACTTTATTCACTGAAGAGAGTGAAGGAGAAGGATATCAGATGGCTTCTGTAGAAACTGCCCAGTCACCACAAGCTTGGAGTAACAATGTAAGGGACTTTAAGAGTATTCGAATTCTGTACCATGATTTTGCTAATTTCTTTCTTTTTACTCAGTTATCACTTATGCATAAATTTCTAAACTTTTCAATAAATTATGAGTTTTTAACTTTGAAGTTTAAAGAATCGAACTTATGCTTTTATTAAAGACCTGTTTCTAATGCTTGGCAGATTCTGTCTAGATTATCAAGTTTTCGTATCCACTCACGTTGACCTGCGTTGTATTATGTGCACCTACAATAAAGAAAATTATCTAAGGAATCAAATAAGCTTAAAGAAATAATTTCTTGAAAATTATTACTAATCGAAAATATTAACTGAACTTTGAATATGAAGAAAATTTCAACTTCAAAATATTAATTTGTATTGAGTTAAACACTTGCAAATTTGCAGAGTAATGTTTCGCTGAGCAGTTTGGTCAGTACGAAACTGTTAGAGGTTAAAGTTGAGCCATCCCTTTTTTTATGCTGAAGAATTGTTTTAGATTTTTTTAAATGAATAATTTTGGACAGTTTAGAATTTCTAACTATTCTAATAATTAACTTTAAAAGTCAATACTTTGCTTACTATCCTGTAATTAATCATTCATTTTCTTACTTGCTTGAATTTTTTTCCAAACTAATTTATTGTATTCAAATTTTTGCTTCCTTTGACTTTAGCCACGAAGCAAAAAATATATGAAAATGATTGCAATTAAATATACATGATTTTTTTGCTTATAAATTTCACGAAAATTCGTCAACATGTTCTATCTCCTAGTTCCAGTGCAAGTATTGAAAATTCGTGGCTGGATTTTGATAAAATAAGCGAATTGGATCAATTTTCAGAGCTTAGATGATTCTCGATCCAAGGAGAATCTTCTTATACAACTTTTGAACTTACTCAGTAATAAGGCGGATTCACTGAATGTTAATAATTTGAAGCAGTTGGTCGAAACGTTATTGTTCAAATGTAATTCGGTAAATAATTTTATGTGATATCACGTTCTGCGACATTTTAAAATAACATTTGAAGAAATTGCGCTTATTAATATGGCGCCTGCAAAATTAAGTTATATTTCTTTTCTTATGCAGATGAATATTGATAAAGTTGGTAAAGTCAGTACATTATTAATCCTTTTTAAAAATTAAATTATTTGAATTTTAATTTGACAAGCTATTATTGCTTTTGCTATATTTGCATCTTGACATAATTTTTGAATGTCATGGCTATCTCCTTGACTTTTGCCCTCTATTTGAGATATAAAGATCTGAATTCCAAATTTCTGTTTCCATCCAAATATTTTAGAGTGCACTAATGTGAGTCAAATTTTCCGAAAAAGTTGTTACGAACAATTAGACAAAATATTGAAAGAAAGGAATAAATTGAAATGATGCGAAATAATTTGAATTACTCATTACACTGTCTCAATTTAAGAAAGAAGTAGAAATGCTTCTGAGTATGGCGAGAGAATATGAAAAAAAAGAAGTGGAAAAAGGCGAAGCCGTCAAAGGTTTCCTTATACTTCTCATGCCCAGCATGTAATTTAAAAACATTCCTCATTCTACAGTCTTCAGTTTTCTGAAGACGAAATGCTCAAAGCATAAAAAAATTTGGTTGCTCCAAAAATTGAGGCTTTCATAGTTAAAAAAGTCATTTCTTCAAGAAAATTTGTAGTAGTCATTTTGAAAAAGTTGGATAGGAGAATAATTTCCAACTTAAACACTATTTTTTCAGACTCTTCTGTCTTGGTCCAACTTCCGAGAGTTCCACCGCCACCTCCTCCTCCACCTCCACCTCCTCCTCCAGCACCACCACTTCCGCCACCAACAGAATGCAAAAGCAGCAAGGGACCACCAACAACATCCCCTTTTCAGGTTCATCAGAAAGAATCAAAGTTAATAGGCAAGAAGAAAGTTGAGCTACCGAAAGCGTTGAGGCCAAAATCAATGCCTAAAGCTGGTTCGCAAATGAAGCAAATTCAATGGACAAAAATACCTGTAGAAAAGGTCCTGACAGTTTAATTTATATTTGCACATTCTGTTTCTGTGAAACTTTACTTAATTACTGAAAAAAGTTTCATGTCAAATATGACGATCAAGCAAGTACAAAAACAGTAGAGTTCACGAATTTTCTATTAAATAGCACTGATAATTGCTAGAAACAGCTTTTTCCTGATTACCTGAATTTTAAGAAAACTTGCGAATGTCATTTTCACTTTTCGAATCATTTTTGAATGAATCGAGAGATGATCAGCTACAAGCTACTTTCTGATCTAAAAACCTAATCATTTTTAGGAACGGATTTTATCTTTGAATTACAATGATCTGTTTTTACCAAAATGTACTAATTTTTAGGTGATCGGAGATGGCGTGCAAAAAATCCCAAATGTTTGGATGTCGTCGGCACGTTTATCTGAAAGCGGTAGGTTCACATATTTTTTGTTAAATTACAGTTTGAATTTTACTTAGCGAGCATTTGTCACTGTATACTTTTTTGAATACAATTTTTAACAAAATTTTTGAGAAAAAAAATTGTGCATTATAATGATCTGCTTGTTGTCAAACTTTGTCAAGTCTGAATCAAACAATCTTCTGTAAATTAAAAAACAGAAGTCATTCCTTTCGCTGAACAAGTATAGAACTTATGCCAATTTTTAAATTTCCGATAAGTGATTGCTCTTCCAGAATTGCATCTCAATTTCGATGAATTGGAATCGATGTTCAGCTGCACAATTTCAGCGTCGCAAGCTGATACTTCAGTGATTGAAGGACGTGAAACTCGTAAAAGAGGTGTTATAACTCTGTTGTCACATAAAAGAAGTTTCAACGTGAGCATTTTCTTGAAGCAGTTTAAAGAAGGTAATTATAGAGTCAGTTTTTATTAAATGAGTTGGTATTAATATATAATTCAAACTAAGCACGAATTAAATGATTATTTACTTATTTTTTAAACTTATAGAGAAATGCTTCGTTTGAAAATCAAATTTCATCACTGCAATAAGGTAGTATCTATTATTTCTTTCAAGGTATTGCACAAATCATCGAAAGTGTTAGAAATGGAGAGGACAGATTCTTCGGTTTTGAACGACTAAAGAATCTTCGCGCCATCTTGCCTGATAATGAAGAGGTCATACTTAAATTGCCGACATAAAATTTTCAACTTTCAGATTAAAGTAAAAGCAGTTGTATTATATGAATACTGGCATAATGAAGGTGTTGTACAAAGTGAAAATGTCGGAAAATTTTAAAGAGTGTCATTGGCTAATGTGTATCTAAAAGAGGTAACTTCAGGAACTTTAAATGTATACCTGAATTCTAACATCATGCAGTCCTTCCACAAAAATCTTAGCCGATGCTGATAATTTTAGATTGAAATACTCAAAGGTTTCACAGGGGAACAGTCTCAACTTGGCATCGCCGAGCAATTCTTTCTTAATCTGTTAACTGTACCAGATTATAAACTTATCCTGGACTGCATGATTTTGAAAGAAGAACTGGATTTCGCTCTTGAAACTTTGTTGCCTCACATCGATACTGTAATTAATAGCTGTGTCGGTTAGTCTTATACATTTCTGATGACAATTTTTTATCAAAAATAATTATTAATATCTTTCTTATTATTTCTGAAAAAACGAACATCTAAATCTAATCATACTAAATCCTTGTCGTTACTTATTTCTTACGTCAAGCTCTAATAACAATAACAGAAATATTATTATTATTAGTTTACAAGCGCAAATTTATCAGGATAGTAGATTAAAATAAAAGCTTTGTTATGTGAATGCTGAAAGTAACATTATTATAATAAGGGAAAATATTGTAGAATTTGAAAGAGTCTCACTAAGGTTATGCGCATTATTGAGAGTTTCAGAAATTAAAGAAAGCAAAGCATTGCCTAAAATTTTTTGTATGCTCATACAAATCGGTAATTTCCTGAACGCTAATGCGACATTCGGCAACGCAGCAGGATTCAAACTTAATTCGCTTTGGAGAATTTTGGACATGAAAGCAACGCAGAAGAGTATCACACTTCTTCATTTCATTGCTATGGTTAGATATTTCAAGAAATCTCCTTCAATTTGGTCTTTTATCAGTCTTCATATGTCTCTTATGTTTAATAAAATAATATCTTCCTATTCTTGGCAACAGTTAGATCATAATATGATCTACCACCGCAAAGCTAAGGATGTTCTAAGTAAGCAATTTCAGATTTGGTTGCACTCAGTGTTTGTGCATTAATATTCTATTTGCTCATTTGTCTTGATTACCATAAGCTAATTAAGATATAAATTGCCTGCATTCACTTAGTTTTCAGCAAGATCCGGAGTGTACAGAAAAACTGTTGGACGAACTGTTGACAGTGCCAGTTTCTGCAAGGTTAATTTCGTATAATTCACGATCTTTTGTGCGAAAGATGAAACTGCACGTAGAAGTCAAATCTAAATCTGGTTTACACCCAATGTTTGTGGATAATTCTCAAACCAGACCTTAGAAGTTGAAGCTGAAAATATGTGGGAATATTAATAAAATGTTCTGTTTTCCTTACATCATTAATCGGTTTGCCCCTTCTTGTTCCAAGCACTGTTTTTATTTGCAAGAATAATTTTAAGGCTTTCGCTGGAATCAATTCGCAATGACGTCCGCACGCTTAAAGATAAGCTAACTTGCATAAATAACGAAGTAATCAAACGAACAGATGTTCGCTTCTTCGAGGAATCGTATCAGCATTTCTTGGTATTTTTTTGTCATCACAGCCAATTTTAATCTTTATTTAATTAGTAGGCTTCAGAGTATGTAATTTTCCATCCACAAATAATACAGCTGCAAAAGTAAACGATAATTATTAACAAAACTAGGTTGCTCATAGACTGCATTTCCTGTATTTCTAAAAATCTGCCTTTTCCAACTCAACATCAGCTCCATAAAATTAGGGTTGGTTTCATGAACTTTGTTATAGGAAGTTGTGATGAACGCTGTATATTTTACAGAATTCTCGAGAACATATGGAAAATATGGAAGAACGATTAGAACAAATGAATGAGTTGATTTCGTATTTGGCAGCATATTTCTGTGAAGATGAAAAGCACTTCAAAATTGAAGAATGCTTCAAAATACTTTCTACTTTTACTTGTCGACTCAGAGATGCATTACATGTTAGTTTGCATTATCTCACTCCTAAAAGATGCTACAAGCAATTAATTAATAATCATAAAATCAGCCATATTCTCTTTCTTATCGAAAGTGAACTTCAGCTTTTCATCAGTTTTGTTTTTTGGTTATATCTCGTCAAGTCAAAATTCTTGTTTGAAAACTGACCAATTAAAATATCACATTAGCTCCAAAGCGTACGCCTTAAGAAGTAAAAAAAATGAGTCAAATTTGCTCATGAAGTTCTTGTAATGACAGATGATTGGTGACAAAACTTGCAATTTTTTAAACTTTGTTCTACTTTTTAAAATATAGATATTTAAATTTCCACTGATTCTGACAGGATAATGAAGAACGCAAAAAACGATTAAAGCGTCGTAAACAAAGAGTCAGTGCTGGAATAACCGTATTAAACAACTCTTCCGAGTTGAACTTCTCTACTAAGGTCAACAGTAGTGACAAAACTTTGGAAGAAGTTTTGGAAAGCGAGTCAGCTATTTCAGTTTTGCAAAAATTTACCTTCTAGATTTTACATGAGCTCATTTACTCGGATAATTTGCATTTATGGATTGAAGTAAATGCCCAAAGATAATTTTTCTCCAATATATCAATCACTGAAGGAAATACTATATTCAACGGAAATCGACTACTTTGAAATGGGGGAAGTTGCAAATGATGAATCTGCAAATAGTTGTGTAGTACAAGTAATGAATGATTTGGTAGGAGTTTGTAGCAACAAAAAAAGTATAAGGGTATAACTGTAAACTGCATTTGCAGTTGAAATTTTTGGTTATTACATGCTTATATTACAGGAGCAGTTTGCACTGTTTACGGAAGTTTTCAGATCACATTCGGGTTCACGTAGGTTCCGATCACGTTCTAATCCTAACCAAAGTACGACTGACGTAAAACAATCAGACAATACCAGGAAAGAACGTAAAATCGTACATCGAACACTACGCAAAGTGAAAGATGAAATAGCAAATGAGGTGAGAATTTTTTTAAAAATCATAACTTAGCATTATTAATGTTAATGAAAATAAGGTTTAAGACACTAGAATTAATAAATTACTCTTTTAAAGAAATTAAGTCTGTCTTTGTCATGTTTCCGAACTTTTTTTGGATAAATAATAGCCAAGAAGAAAACATTTCATATATTTAAATTGGGCAGATTCTTTAGGCAGATACTTTATCACCAATAGTTAAGCTACGAAGAAATTCGAGAAATAAAAGTGATGCATACCTCATTAAAAACAGTCGGAATTTGGACGAGTTTCTAGAAGCAGCTGAGAAAGTTGAAAAAGAAGCCGTAAAGCATGTCGAGGTCAGGTTTATTTGAAAACTCAATTATCCGCTCTCTTCACTGAGTGTTTTGCTACAGTTTTAGGAATTTTAATTCGATGCCTGATATTTTTGTCTCAATATTTATAGTTGTGTTCAAAATGAAGAACAAACTGAATCTTAGATTAAAATTAAAGTTATTTTTAAGCTTTTTTTTACAGCATAGTGTTACTTGTTTCGGCTACAAAGAATCACCTCGAAATGACAGCGAGAAACTTTCTAATTCTCCAATCTCAAGAGGTCACGGTCATCTTCATACTTCATAAAATCTTGTAAAAATGAAAATAGAAATTACTAAAATCACTCGTGCATATTTTTCATAATTTAAAACTGGTTTCTTTCCAGTAATTTATTTATTTTAAGCATTATCTTTGATTTTCAATGAAAACAAAGACTTGTTTACAGAAGATTCCCTCTTGAGAAGATCATCTTCAACGGATATTTCAAGGATTAGTGAACCGGGATGTTATGAAGTGACGATTGAAAAGAACTCATCAAGTGTCACCAGAGAAAACCAGATGTTATCGTTGCCAAGTGCGATGGATAAAATTACAAAACAACAAGTGGCTGTGGAACGATCTGCCGAAATACCGTTAACAAAAGCAATGCGCAACGTTAGAACGCTGAAAGCTCCAAAAAAAATCAGTGTATTATCGGGAACTAGCAGTATTTTAAGTGCCTCAACACTCGGAAATAAACAAGTTTCCGCAATATCATCTTTTACATCTACTCTTGAACGTCGAAGACCAACAAACAAATCAACAACTTCACCTGAAATAAATAAAAAAATATTACAAAAGGGATATAACGAGTCAAAAACTACTAACCCGAGATCAAATTTGCAATTCGGGAAATCTTCAAATACAACTACCAAGGTGAAGCGAAGTGAGGCTAACTCAGCTAATAAGTCTGCAGTGAATATTGCGAAAGGTATCAAAATTTTAGAATCATCTAAATTAGGACAGCCTGGTTTTGGCGGTGCCAAAATATCTGGGAAAAATTGCATTTCCACACGAATGTCAAGCAAATCATTGGCGATTCTAGGAGAAACCTCAGATATACCAGCACCATGCACATCAAATTCCTCAGTGAACAATTCTCCACCTCTACGAGTGGATGGCACTACTACGCGTTTCACTTCCAGTAACTTTCATACCAATTCTCAATCATTTTGGAGTACTGCTTTCCGAGCAAGTACTCCGATTAAGCGATCAGTAACATTACATGAACAGGCTTCATATCCTAATATCTCAAATCCTTCATGGTCGAAATCCACTGCTGTAAATTTATCAAGTCTTAAATCAACAGCACAAAATCGAACCTCTGTATCATGTGGTGCAGTATTGCCTCCAAAAGTGCCCTCAACTCATACTTCTCCCTCCGTAACACGGCGACCGACAATGAAGGGACCTGGCAAAATGAATTCGCAAACACCAACCTTACCTGCAATACCAGCATCCACTCCTCATAATCGTGCCACGAAACGGAATGACTCCTGCAGCACTGCTTCTAGACCGTTGCTGATCAAAACCGGGACCATATCAAGACCAAGGTGGAAATAGCCCTCACTTGACACCATATCTTTCAAAATATTACCAAAACTAAACAAAATATAATGCCCCACTACAAATGATCAGCAAACTTTGTCAAAAAAAGCCCAGAAATGAATAAATAAAAGTATCTAATTTATTTGCCTTGGTGTAATTAAACAATTCAAAATATATATGCACACATAGATTTTAAAATGCGCCACTTCTCATGTTTCTTATCATTAATGCTGAATAAACTATATGTTACAAAACAGAAACTCAGTTGGAAAGAAAAATTCTACCTGCAGCATACTTCAATTCAAAGCAAAATGTGATAAGTAATCAGCATTACGTGGACTTAGTCCTCTTTCATTTGGTGCTAATTCTTAACTATTTTGTTTACTAAAAACTCGAGAAGTAAACACTTTGCCCTGCAGTAAAAAACGTGCTGATAAATAGTAAATGCATTACGTGATACTCTGCATTAGCAGACAGAATTTGCTCACAACATATGGCTACCGTCTAACCATAATACTGAAGAAATGAACTAGCTGCATTTTGGTCTCACAATGTTTACTTGTTTAGCTCAAAACTACAATACTTAATTCTCGAACAAATTTTACAACTATAATATGCTTATCTTCGTTTGCTGCTACTACTTGACTTCAGTGAAGCGCTGGTCAGATAAGCTTTCATGGATTCAGATTTAAGTCATGCACACTTCGTATGAGTGCGAAGTGCAACGTTGAGAAAGAAATTTGGGAGAGCACAACAGTTTCACTTATAAAGTTGTCAAGATATTTGAAATAACGCTAAAATACTGTGCTCTACCACCGGTTGAATCCGTTTAGTGACGTGAGTACAGTTCAAAATCCATAATCTCACATCTAAATCCATGGACAATAATTGCAATGACACTATACTGCCTGGACAATATTTCCAGCCAGTATGCATATCTCCATTTGATTTTCATTAACAAACAGAAATTTCGAGATTGGATATAACGAAGAACCAAAGTTTCGCAACTTTTCTGGAAGACTATAGATGTGCAAGTAATCTAGAGTCCCATTTCAGACTTATATATCCTTGTCTTACCTTTTAGCATAAAAGTAAACTAGCACTTCCTCTACTTGGATTATGAAACAATTCCGCTACTACAATGGTAACCAGGTAACACATTAGCATTCACTATGACTGGAAAATCCTAACCAAAAATAAAACTAATGTAATCCCACACACCTCACATCAGCATTGTCACTTTCCGTACATAATCTCGACGTGCAGATGACACTCCAATGAAAGAGTCTTTTCGAAGAACATAAAGGTGACGAACACAGACCAAATAAAAAATCATTGTATTGCAGGCTCCTTCTCTGAGATCTCATAGAGAATTATTACATCTTACTGCACCAGTTTCCATCTAATCATTACACAGTTCCCTTCCTTTTACCTTTCCTTACACAATAAGTAATAGAGGAATTAAAAAATGATAAAGACAAAGAACAATGAAACTACATCCTTGACTGAGAATCACATGGTCATATAAAACTGTCTTATACTGCAGATGGACATACTGCATCTTGCACAGAATTTCGAAATTCAATCATAAATTTGACTTTTTAGGACGACAACTGCTTAATCATATTTATATTCCTCTATATTGGCTGAACATGAGTGACACGTCCGAAAACCGACTTTAAAAACATCATAATATACACGGATATCATGGCTCTTCAATTATACACCAGCAACTTCGTAGAGCTTTCAAGTCTTACATTAAAGTTCCCAAAATATTGTTTGATCGTTGAATTTATGCGCGAAATAATACTATATCTTATTTTACTCCCAGAAGAAACAATCATAATATCAGTATAACAGATTTCTTAAACAGACTCCTGTACGGGTGGTTCGTAATCATCTGGTCTTTCGATCTTTTCGCCTTCAGCATTTCCGAATGAACCTACATCCGTGTGCATGTCCATCAAACGTCCAAGTTCAAACTTCGGTTTTTTCAATATCTTCACCTTTCTAATGCACACATCTTGCAACGGGTAAATATACGAACAGGCTTTTTCGATATCTTTACCAATCGAATCCGGAACTAATTTGTGACATACATCTTTTAAATCACTGCCTTGCACCTGCATAGTAAATTTAATTTGTACTAAGAATTTAAGTATTATGCATTTCGATTTCTCGCTAGCAGAAGTTCTACAGAATTCGATGCGCAGTTGCTTACGTTCAGTAAAAATAAATAGAAAATGATGGAAACCACTACATATAATGGACTCTTATATATTCGATATTGATACACTCACCTCCTTTTGCATATACTCAATCATTTTTGCACGGATTTGTCTAATTTTTGACGACTTCGCATAACTCGTTTTTTTCAACTGTCCAGCATTTTTTTTTGTGAAACCGATACAAAACAGGCGAAGCAAATAACCATCAGATGTTTTAACAGCAACATTTGCTTCAATCAAGGTCTGAAATCATTAAACAGTCTTTGCAAACAAAATAAAATCTACTTCATCCAAAGCAAAGGCGGACGCAATAACATCCAACAATCGGTCACAACCAATAAAACGAATTTTGAATCTTTTCCCTTAATTTTGTAGTAAATCTCTTCTTACATGCCATTTCTTGACGATGGAACAAAGCTTATCACGAGTTAATCTCATTCCATGAAAATTAGTCAAGCACGTACGACCCTGAACATCTTCACATATTAAACGCATTTTCCGAAATTCCGATTCAGCATCATTCAAATCTCCAAGTGAAACTTCATATACGCGTCCCTTCAAGCCTTCACTAGCGATTTCTGTAACGCATTTTGCTGTGCTACTTCTAATAGTACTAATGACTCCCTGCTATACCCATGAGACGCAATTTGCAATTTTCTTACACTTTATTACAATTATTTCAAAGTCAAATGTCTCAAATTTTAACATATATCCCAATTTTTAAAGGATAAACCACAAAACCCAAATAACTTTGTACATCACTATTCAGAAAGATATCAAAGAAGTTTTTTAAAGTCCAATGCTTAGTATCAAATATGTACAAAAACATATAGTCCGACTCAATAAAGCTTTGTCAAAATAATCAATAAAATGCCATATTTCTTACTTGTTCCTTGCGTACGATTTACTAACGTTTTGCCGATATGTTGAACATTGAACATTGAGGGCGCTTTGATGACGTACCATTCTTTACGCGTAAATGGATCAACAACCTTTTTCTTTGCGCCTTTCTTCCCCATTTTTTTATTTTTGCCCACAGCCATTCTTGAACTTTTAGTCAGATAACCAATTACTTAAGCAAAGAAATGAATCGCAGCACTAAAAAAAATAATTAACGAACGATACAATTGTATTATTAGATTTGTAAAAAAACCACATAAATCAGAAAAGACAACAGGGAATAACTCAGTACGGATTAGCAGTTTTCTGCTTAACAAACAAGACGCCTTGAATTATTTGAATTGAAAATGCTATAATCCTCTATTGTCTCTACATTAACAATAAACTTTACAAGAAAGTAGCCTGTGTCGACAATATTTCTATCTCCATATGTTGCGTAAAACAAATAAATGAACCACGTACAAACAGATACGCTCACACTACATGCAGTCGGTTATTGCTTTTGGATAGCATATAGTTAATACTGCCAAAGAACCCAAACAACTCATCATTTGGTTTCATGCATGCAACCACACTATCTTTGCCGAATATTTCACTCAAACAAAAATCCCCCCAAGATCCAAAATGCAAAACTCCTAAAACTGACGTACATCCCATACCTTCCTCTTCACTCATTGAATGCACAATGCCAAATTCCCCAAAACTGTCTCTACAAACCATATCGTTTGGTTACCCATTGGAGGACACTATGCAACACGTTATCCAATGTAATATCGGCCACGAAATCAAACCAAAAAACTGTTTGTGATTGCATGTTTTTTCTTGTGTTGGTGTCTTCGTTTAGGACGATACTTTTATATCATGCTTAACGCTATCTAACCTACTCCATACTGTATTAACTGGTGTTAGTTTATATGACGTTAAAAAGTTGTTAAACTCACGTGAACCTACACGTACCTTTAAAACTTGCGCTCTGGTCGCATGAAAGCTTTGATTCCTGACGTTTTTTGTAATTCACATACTTGAAAGTGAATTAGGTATCAGTTTAATATTTTTATTCATATTTTCAGATACTTTTCATTCCATTTATAACAAAAACTCAGATCTACAATGGTGAGATGAATCTAACACTTAATTAAGTTTTGTATCACTTCAGGATATTAGAGTGAAATCACTTTTTTTAAGCTTCGTAGCCTGTTTTAATAGTAATTTCGTTGAAAATCCTGTCAGACTCTTGTTTATATGTTATTAATATTATTATCAATGTATGCCACCCACGTATGCAAATATTTTTAGTTCTGCAGACATATGGTTATGTAGAATTGTAGAATAAGCGTTTCAAAACTTTTCATTTAAAGTCGTTTTTTTGTAGTGTCCCAGAATTGTTTTTATTTTTTGTGCTAAACTGTGGTCGACATCTTTTTTAGATTTTGTAATTTTTTGTTGATTGCAAGTTCTGTATAGTTTTATAACTGCAATTATATTGAGAAAAATTGTACAGCAAAGTTATCAATAAATCTCATGCTTACTTGAAATCAAAACAGAAGATTTGTTAATAGTTGGGATGTTGTTCATAAAATCTTTGTCCTGTTATAATTAGTCTTGAAGATATGACGTGTTATAGTTCAACATCCCAAGTTGGATGGTTTTGTAGAAATAATTATGTTAGAAAATAATACATGTACAGCTGCACTGCAAATGTATTATTTTCTAACATCTTTATCATTTTTCTTATTTGTGTCTTTGTGGAAGATGTCATATTTTGATCTTTTTATCAATGTTCTAGCACTTCATCTTGTTGAACAGCCATTCTTGAGAATGTAGAAGAAGAATGCCTTTTTGATCATCAAGCAGTTAATCGTATCAGAAAAGAAACGAATAGCATTCTGAAATTTTCAGCTTTCTCAATTCATGTATATTTGTATATAAATTAAAAAATATGTAATAATGGTATTTAACCATTCAGTTATTTCTCTTTCAGATAGGTGACGATGCTTAATAATTCCTTGAACGGTCTTGAGAAATCCTCATGTAGTGAAATAGGAAATGATGGTGATAAAATACATCGGTATACTCGTGAAGAAATGTTGGGTATGAGGAATATCACTTTAAGTCGAACACGTCCAAATTATTTGTCGATGGAGTTTGACAAGTCATTTTCGTTTCTTTAATCACTGTTATTAATTCAGCATCTTTCCTGCAATAATTTGTGGAGTACAACATTTTTACTGATATTTTGACGAAGAGTACATATTATTTTATGTTTAAAGCTAAATCTTAAATATTGTGGGACAGCAAATATTTCCGCTTAAATGTTTGATCAAAAACTCATCATATTTTAAGTTTATCCAGTTTTCGTAAACTTGTAAGCACTGGAGGACTGAGACTCTCTACTGATCCAAAGAAAAGAAAAAATTGAGTTATATAAAAATTAAATTGAACAATCTGAAGTCAGGAAAATGTATTTTCAGTGATGAAGGTAAATTTCTTCCCGAAAAGTGGTTAGAGCATCGTTGGATTTGTGAAGGAGTGGAAAACAATTCCAATATTGCATTAAAAAGGAAAGAAAAGTTAAAAGCCGAAGCATTAGACGGTGATGCTACTGTTCTTTCTCCCCAGCGACGTGCTTTTTCGTCAGGATGTCGTGCTGCTTCACCCATTAAAAATGGTACTATTTCACATAGTTGTAATCTGTCGTAAATCTGACAAATTAATTGTGGATAATTTCCAAGTATTGATTTTTTGAGAAAAACAGATGACTTAAAATGAACTTGTAGTATGCGATCATTGAACATAATAAAATTAGAGTCTTATTTCTCTCCAGTAATATTACTTATTGTTATGGAATACTACGATGACTAATATGACTTTAAAATGCTGCCGGTAATACGTCCAGGATAATTATTTGACCTCCATTCTGCTTAGAATGTTATAAGCTGTTTATTTTAATTTAATTCCATAGTTTTTGATTTTATAGATTTTTTCTATTATAATACTGTTTTTATATCTTGCTTGCAGTCTTCTGGCACTGTATGTTTTGAGAGAATGCCTATTTAAGTGATGAAAATGACTTTATTCATTTAAAAAGCATTTATATTTTTGTATTTACAGATGTAGAAACAGAAAGACTCGGGACGAACAAAGCAAGTTGGCGAATTGGCGCAGGTTTTCAGTTAAAAAATTCCGGTACTGAATACAAGACGTCATTTGTAAGTTTAGTACTATAAATTTTCATGAGCATTTCTGACTGTTATCGAAGTCGTAAGCCAGTGGTAGTCATTTTTCTTTTCATCTTTATTTATCTGTAATCTGTTTTAACTTCAAATATTCTCTTGTTGTCCCGATCACAATTTTAAACTAATAATTTTTAATTTGAATTCCGCCTTAGCAGATGTCATTTTCATTAGTTTTTCTATTGTTATTACTCATGTATTTGCAAGTAGAAAATCTCTCACATTTCTTTTGAATGCTAGCATAAAAACTCTTCGGGATGCAAAGAGTCCTTCGCAAAAAGCCGTCAACATAATGGAAATTTCCCTACTACTGGCAGTAATTGGCGATTAAATGAAACATCATTCAAACCTAGTTACCAGAAAGAAATTAGTCAAGGACAGGTGTTAATTTATGTTTTTCATTTCGTTACTACTACTTGTTTAATTTCCACTTTATTTTATATTCTTGTAACTCCAGTTTTGCAATCAAATTGTGTCTAAACATCATTTTTATAAGGATTTGACATATTTATTTTGTTTGGTACATCAGGAATATTAATTTTTTTGACTGAAAATATTTTAGAAAAGTAAATTAACAGAAATAGTTGCGGAGGAAAAGGTCCCGGAATGGCTTAATGAAGGTCCAACGTCAATTCATGATATGATTGAACTGCGTGGTTTTGATGATGACCGAAAAACTAAACGTTAGCAGTGTAGCAAATTTTATTAAATTATGTTTCTTATGACAATCAAAATTTACTTGTTGAGTGAATTAAATTTACTTTTTGCGCCTACTATGCTTAGGAAGTGCATATTGAATAGTCCTATAATTTTTAGTTTTACGAATTACATACAACTTTCATGCAGATAACATCTTAAATGTTTTTTTCATGCACCTGAAGGGTCATTTGTTTAGAAAAAAACACTAGTTTTAGGAAGAAGGTGCTGTAAAATTATATTTTTTGACTTTGTCTTCGTCCAGTTATTTCTCAGCTTTGTAGGCTATTTTTTATCAAAATATGCTTTACAGGTGATTCTTCTCGTAAACTAAAGAAAGATCCTATCACGAGAGGGTCAAACGAAAGCGAAAACGCAATTGCAGCTGGGTTAAGCAAAGTATGCTCAAGGGAAAAGATTGGTTTGGAGGATGAGGGACTGTCTGGCCATGTTAGCAGCAATAACGATTTAGGGCTTCAAATAATTCCAAGTTGCAAGCTAAGTAATAATAGATCATCGAGTCATTCGAAAATGACCGGTAATGGTGATTCATTTGCATCATTGCCTTTGCTAAGTGGTAAATTACCAAATTCTGATGCGGAATTTGCGGCTATTGTGGGAATCTTAGATGATGCTGATTTGAATTCACTGAAAGAGGTTAAAACTTCTTTTTTCTTATTTTGATAAGAAATACATGTTATTGATGGCAGTTATTGCGTAACTCGGCATATCTGAAAGCAATCCCTGTAAAATATAAATGTCATCAATCATTTTCATCTTCATTAACACTATTTATTTCTTATTTTTTACTTGGTTTTCAATCAATTTCATTACATTTTTGTAGTTTATTTGTTGTTTTTCAAGTTGAATATCATTTAACGTTTTTTCAGAGCGAATTGAGATCCCCAGCATCGAAGGAACCAACTGGTAGCAGATTATCCCGATTTTTCGCCACTTCTGTTAAGCCTGAAAGACCTGGTAAAGATTAGATTTATCTCATTTTATGTCATTCTTATACTTTACAAAAGTGCATTTTCAGATACTCCCAGTCAAAATGAGACCTCGCAACAAAACCAGAACATCCCTTCATCTTCTTCAGTTTTCGACTCACCGCCATTTGCATCGCCAACATCTATTCTCAGCAAAATATTGTCAAATCCTCGACGATCTGTAAATTCAATATTTATTCCCCAACAAGTTCGTTTTTCATATTTTTTTGTTTTTTTCATAGTTTATATTAAAAATAGAAGTGCACTCTACTGTTGGGATTTGTAGCACTCTGCATCGCCTTTGGTTGAAGTTTTACGCGTTGAAGATTTGGAACGTAGTTGTCATAGAGAAGCTACTCTTCAAAATTCATCTGAAGCACCATTAATAAGTTCTGATGGTTCCATAGATTTGATGAGCAGTCAATATCTCCACAAATCTCGGCAGTCTAACTTGTTATTGCAGGTCTGTACTTTTGATTCATTGTTACAAATATATTTCTGACCTAAGCAGTGCTTGTGACTTGAAAGTTATGCATGCTTTTTTTTCAGAAATCACATTTGGAGGAGTATAATACCTTTGTTGGTTGAATTTTGGGATATTAGGTATAAATTTGTCAAGGAGTTATGTCAAGATTCGCCAAGATATATATTTACTGATTGCCCGCTATTGTGTAGCACGAAAAGTAGTTTCAGAAAAATAAAGACACTTCTCTGGGAGATCCAAGTCAACAAACTCATTTGGTGAACAAACTGAACAAATTTGCGCCCCTTCAAGATGGAATGGCGGAAAATATTTCAGACAAAGCAGAGAATAATTCGACTGTCACATGCAAAGCTACTCCCTCAGCTTACCAAGTTTCGACAAATTCTCGGTCATCTACTTCAGTTCTACCTCCTTCTGCATGTGACGCAACGTTGCATGCATCTGTTCTACGTTCACAGTACGAAAAAACAGCTGCTTTGCAAGCACTCACGCCTAATCACGCTATATTTGCATCTTTACACACAGAAAATGGTTTCAGGCAAGTGTAAACTTTTATCCCATTTTCGTTTTACTTAGATTAACTTCCACATCACTTTATTATATGTCAATCTGTATGACATGATGTTGAGTCGTAATTGCTGCTTAGTGTCATATGTCAATGCTGCTTACCTTCTTTTTACTGCAGTAATTTCTTTTGGTCTAAATGATTAAATGAGTTTCGTAAACTGTTTTATGAATATATATATTTCACTTTGCCAACAAAAATTCTTCTGTCAGTGAAATCTCTTTTGAATACTTTGCATTTATAGACAGCCACTATCAAATGCAGTAACGAATGGAACAATGTCGCAAACGATGCAGCCACGACAAATATCTGTTCCCAATCAGTGTGTTCCACCGGGAACGCTTCCAAATTCATTTATGCCGACTGCAGTGTTGCGTCGGATGACTAAAACCACAACCATACCAGTTTCTGTTGATGAAACATTACAACTTGGCAATGTACCTACGTGTTCTGCCCACTATAATACCATCAAACAAAATCTGATTACTGAACCTTTCAGTGTAATCCGCAAATGTTAGTGTATAAATTAAGTATTAGGTGACTCATTTATATATTTAGTGTTTTATTAAATCAAAAACATAAATACATTTGGTTGTATAAAAAGCAACTTTGATTTATATGATTTTGAAAATTCTAGATAGTTTATTATTTTTACATATCTGAATCTAAGCGAGAAACGAAATAATTTTCAGCTCCAGGAGAAGTGGTACCTGGAAGCATTGCATCAAAGAATGCAATGGATTTGGCAAGATTAGCTATGCATCAACAGTATGCTCAGATGCTTGCAGCAGTGCAAAGCAATTTATCATTGAACTGGCATTCGAATGCACACATCGCGGCTGCTGTTCATGCTCAAGCATTAGCAGCTCAAATAGAACAACAGCGACAGTTTGCCTTAGCTATGATGCGTGGAGATGTCAACCAAGCACAGATTTTACGTGCACGGTTATTATCGCATCAGTCTATGCCAACTCTACCGAATATACCAATAGCTCATCCTCAGAATGTTAGTTTACTAGTATTGTTGTAAATTGGTGGAGTATTCAAAAAATTTTTATGTAAGAAGCACTCTGTTTTTGTGAGGCGAAAGGAATACCAGTAATGACCAACGGAAAAGTATAAATTCATGAAATTAGCCAAAGGCATTTTAAAAATATCATAAATATTCATCCATATTTTTAAAATGCCTTTGGCTCAATTTTAATTATAATGTTTCATTTTAGATAGGAACCCCATTTGTACCTGTTCAACCAGTGGTGACAACACCACCGACACCAGGATCTCAAAGTACTCAACCTCTATCTTCAATAACTCCATATAAATATCAAAACCCGTTAGAGAAATTATTGCAATCAGCTGGGGTACCAGTAAGCAGAGATCTACAGCCACCGATCAGTAAGTATCCTTTAACCATTGATTTTCGTGATTTCTGTTTTCTGTTTGTTGGAAGCATTTTCGGAACTAAATTTAAAAGAGTAATTGAATCTTAATTATCTGTATCGTTCAGCCATAGAAACAAGCTTTACTGCGAAAGTAGATAGTTTTGGTTTTTTGTAAATTTTTTCCGCTTCCATCATCTGCAAATTACTCGACGGCATTTCGTCTTAGAATGTACCTCAACTTCATGTTAGGCATACATAAATAAACCAAGAATTCATTTTATTTGTTAAGTTTTCTTATCGCCGTATGTACTCCAGGTACATTTTCCGGAATGACAGCTTCTGCCGATCTTCCTTCAATAGTATCTCGTCTTCCTCCAACAGCTAATTGTATCAGTGTTGAAGAGCTTGAGAAACAATTTGCTGCTAATTAACAGAAAAAGTTTACTTGTTAAATTCTTTCAGTGTTCATTCATAGTTCACACATAAAAGTTTTCATCGCATACTTTTTATTGAATTTTTTGTTGCTTTTGTTTCGTGTTTGTCTATACATATGTTGATATGAAGCCATTTATTGCGAACCTCTATCTGCTAAACAATACAGTACTTTCCCATTTAAAGCATAATTGTACTTTCTCTGTTGCTTCAGTTTTCTGGTGTGTGAATTAGTTTCTTTTGTTTAATCCATGAAGAATTTTTAAAATTTTAATATATCGGTGTTGTTTTTTCTTTTATGCTGTATATGTTGCCCATGCGTCTCATTTGATTTGTTTCTGCTGTAATTTCGTTTTTATAATTCATTATGTACTTGTTCACATCGTTAAAAAACTCTAAAATATTGAAAATTTTAGTTTTTCCAGATAGGAATGAATTTATATCACCTATTAAAAATGCATTTTAATCTTGATTTTTCTGAATAAATTATTACTTATTGGTAATATAGGGATCTAATCATTCACGTATTCTAATGATACAATTGATGAGACTCAGTTTCGCATGGTTGAAGTTTCAATTTCTACTGTACGTACCTAATGCCACATTGTCTATGTTACTGCTAAAACGGTGTCAATCTAATTTCTGAATTTTCGTGCTTGATGTTTATTACTTCCGTTTCATCGAATTCGGCATGTGTTGAGTAAGCTCCTTTTCAATGAATATAATGCAATTTAGAGTCATGATGTTTCCTGGAGCTATTTTTTTCGTCATGTTGGATGTTTTTGTAATGTGTGCATCTCGACATGCCATCAATGCATTGGCGTCGACTCACACCTGACCTTTCACTCAATCCTAATTTTGTACTCGCCTTTACTTGACCAGCTCATTTGTGTTGGTATCATTCTATTTTTAAGAGCTTAACACCATCCCATATAATCTTCTTGATAAAGGGTAACACCCGTACACAGTTATCTGTTCCGTATATCAGATTTACCTCATTAATCCGTATAGTATAGGACTTAAGTTCTCTTATTTCTAGCGTAAGTTGTCAAAAAAGAAATCACTATTCATGTGATGCATTTTCAGTATGCTTATTACCTTATTTTCAAATTACCATTATTTTGTGTAATAAAGATAGCTTTTTGATGTATGAATACGCTTCGTTGTACATCTGATCGAAGTAAATGAGGTTTCTCGTATGCAAGTTATCGAACCGGAGTTTTTAGTGATCATTATTGTGTGAAAAGCATTTAGTATGACGAGGTAATTCTGATATGATTATTCAAACAGTCCGCAGTATGAAATATTATATACAATATAAGCACGAATAACAGAGATGTGAATGTTTTGATGCAAACTAAGACCAATTCATCACGCACATGGCATTCTAGTGTGAAGATCAGACGGAAGGTCTATGAAGTGAACTGACGCATAGTCTCTTATCAACTTACAACTTCACAATAACATCAGAAAAAATAAGGAACGAAGTACATGAATAACAACGCTGTATGGTCACAGGACACTTCAACTTTTACACCATATTTTTTAAAAAAGGAAGAAAATTCGAGTTACATGAAATTTACGTAAGGTGGTATTTAACGAAGTTTTCTGGACTTCGGAGCTGTAGAAACGTCACAATAAATCTGTCAACAATACCAAAGAAATCGTGCGTATCTTAGCAATTTACTTTCCAAATTTACTGGGTAACTACGTTTCATTTTGCTAAAATTAAATATTTTATTGTAGTGGATTCATTGCACACAAAAGCTATTTTTATTAATTCAATAGTCGTAAATAAAACTCAATTTGCGGTGATGTGCTCATTCACAAATACTTTTTAGATCAAATCTGCAAAGGAGTGAATCCATATCTTACAGAGGCATTTTCTCCAGAGATATTATTTTATCTAAACATATTTGAAACACTTCTGATGATTAGTGGGTAGACGTGTTTTGAAAAGTACCGAATCGACCCGTACTTGCGTAAACAAAAGTGGATTATACCCGTAAACTTGAGTGAAAAATTGAATGCATTCATGTCTTTGATGGTAGTGCGTACTTCGTTGGTAAAGACTCGCTTTACAAGCTGGACAACTTAAAATTGTAGCTTAAATAGGTAAATTCCATAATTTCTTTTGTGTAAGACGTAATTTTACAACTTGCATTTGTCAATATTTACAAAATGTATTAAATAGAATGTATCTTATAATGTTATTAAAATTTCAATGAAAAATAATGCACTTACTATTTGGAATGAATGTTTTGAGAATTGATTGAAAAATAAAAAAAGTTGACTTTTTTGCCATAACAATCCTCAAACCATGTTTCTATTTTAATTTTATATAATAAAAAAGCAGAATTTTACATAATCAAGCACAAACCGCAGAGTCCATTTGCTAGTAGTTTTGATAGGAGGCTCTCTAATCAAGTGAGCTACTAAAAAATTCATCGCCAAATCTTCACAATTCATTAGTTCATCAACTTTCTCCTTAATGACCTGGGGCATTCCATAAGTGTAAGCATAAAAATAAGCCTGTAAAATCAGTTAATCTTAAAATAAATGACGAGCAACAAAAATGTAATAGTGACGAAGGACTATTGTCATTGTAAGGACTATTGTACAGTAAGAGAACTTACAAGTTCTCTTACTGTTTTATTTTACAAAAAACTGATAGTTCTGGAAAAGAACTAATGACTGAGCATTAACAATATTTCATATAATTTACTTTATGAATGAACGCAGCTCCTGTTAATATCATACTTAATTGGCATGTGTGGTTGCTATCATATAAAATTTCATTTCCTTTCTGAGAATGACGTCGTGCTGGGAAACCGACAATTTTATTTCTCTGCTCTCGCCAGACTCTGGAAAACATCATCAAAGAATCATTAGGAATACCATAGAATACATAATGAAAAAAGCAACTTACCAAATATGATACAGTATGATACAATGACTTACTAAAAAAATAATAATTTCCTTAATAGTATCTTCAAAAAACTTCAAAGCAAAAATTAGAATATCCAAAATTTTATTCTTCACTACCCAATAATGCACACTATCAAAAATTTCACTTGCCTGAATTGCCTATTATATTCAATAAGCAATTTTTACTTTGTCTTGATTTGATTCTAACAACATTCGACGCAAATAAATCTTACGAATGCAATGCGATATAAATAACATATCTTAGCAATACAATGCCGCAACCTTGCATGTTACAAGAAATTAAGATGCTGAAAATTTACCAATTTTCACTAAATGTCTTCAACCTTTCAAAAAATATAAAACTGGACCTGAACGCAAAAATAATTTCGTGCTGCCTGAGCTCGATATCATCATCAAGCGACAGCACCGCTTCTGTATTGATCTAAAAAATAGATTCATGAAAAAGAAACTACTGATAGGAATAAAATGATTAATAAGACCAATATAACAAAATGCCAATTGGCACTAAATAATAAAATGCTGATCATTTAAATCATTCTACCGTAAGACACTCATTATAATAATAACAAAAGTGTTTCTACAAACGAAATACAATAATCAGATACCAAAGTGATGTCAAAAAAAATTTGTAATATGAATTGGTAAAACCATACTGTCATCAGCCTAACTTTAGACTGGAGCTATAGTTACTATTGTCAGTGACTACTTGGAAGTAGTAATAATTATTTTCAACTAAAAATTGTTTCTAATGTGACTAGGCACAATGCTGAGATAAAAAATAATGCAATACAAAACTCCAGCGAAGTGTCGTTGTAAAACATGGAAGAATTTCAAAACCTCTTCATAGGGTAGAAATCGATTATTCAAGGAATTCACGCTCGAATTGATAAATATGACAGGTACATGAAGTCGCGGCCAATTACGTTCCAGCGGTGCTTCACGTCCATTCCATATTACCAAAACCTAACCAGAATAAGTTGACATTAAACAAATCTCCTAGGTACACTGATGGGGCATTAGAAGCAAAAACGTCATCGGGGTGTAGAGGAGAGTAAGCCCTGTGCTGTTATACTGTAACGTCACTGTGCTAGCAACGACCCCCGAAAAACCTCAACCATCATCTAGCGTAGGACTCGGCAATAAGCCTCCTGATCCTGTTTAGGTTGTATGAAGTCTTTCAAGTACATCCACTCGATGGATGGGACTCTTTCAGCCCACGGTTCAGGGACTTTCGCCCACAGAATTGCGGCCACATAGGACACATGACTAGCAATTGTTCAAAGGACCGGTGAGTGCCTGCGAGTGTCACACTTCCCATCACCCCTTAATGCCTGTCCCATCAAAACCACTACATTAAAGGTTGCTTTAAGATTGCACACCACTCTCACTGGGTATGACAGACAATCAGACGACTCTCTCTCCACATCAGAGAAATTAACACTAAATAGTTCTAACTGCCAAATACAATTAAAGCAAGTTGTGCTGTAAACATTTTCTGCAGAACTTCCTTCACCTTATTAAGATATGGTATATTATTGAGCCTTTCAAGAGCAGTCGCCAAAATAGCATCTCGTTGATATGTAAGAAAGACCACTGTAATGAACATAGAATAAATAATAATTAGGAGATTCAAGAGGATAATTTCAGCACAAACTATCAAAATGAAAAAAATCGATTTTCAAAGCACACTTTCTTTCTAAAACAAGACATGCAAATCGACTTCAAATTAGATAACATTCACTGAAAACTTCACTGCAATTTTCGTTGCTACCTTTTTTATTATACTATACGGATAATCTGCTCAGCAAAAAATCTTTGGAATGAAACATAAGTGCAGAAAAATAAGTATTGATAATTATCAATATCAGATAGCGGTTAGCCTCAACCATATCTTTTACTTCAGTGGAGCATTCATTTCATGGATTTAAGAACACTTTACAAAGTAAAGCACATCTTTAAAAATATGTGATAAATTATTCAATAATATAAACCTGTGAATTGTTCCCGTGGTCTATTGCCACCTAGAGCACTGGAGAAAGTAGCGCCACTTGCAGGTGGAGCAATAGGACGGAAACCCCACTCAAGACCTTCACCGTACTCAAATTGTGATGGGAACGGTGGTTCATTAACAATGTACTCTAATGACCTGCCTGCTACGCGACCAAAATCGTTCCACCAGTGATATGAATACTGAATTCAAACAAATTATTCATAATGTAACAGATAAATTTTATACAAATAAAAAAAATCAGTCATTATTTTGCAAACAATACTAGTAAGAGCATGCTCTATCGCTGACATATATGACAACCAAGTTATAAAATATATATACCATATGAATAGATGTATAATTGTGCGTATAAGGAATAGAGTTATGAGGCGCTTCACGTGGCCCTGCAATATCGTTTCATTTGGAGAAAATGTGACAAGTAACAATATATATATCTTTCTCACAAAAAGACATAAATTTTGAAAAAGAACCAAGGTTTTACAAGAAAATGACTTGTTCACGAAATTTCTTTATTGAGATATGATTACGAATTATTCTTTTTCTAATGAATAATATCTAAAAGCTAAAACAAAAAATGAGGCCTTGGATATCTTGACACTGAATGGCGATGCTCTTTATTAAAAGCAATGCAGCAAAGAATATAATTTTAAAACAATACCCAAATATTCCTCTTCTGGTGGTTTCACAGCAACCACATGCGGAGGACTAAACTTTTGATTGCTGAACAGTGGACTACCTTTCACAGCAACAGTCTGTTCACCAGGCACACCAATACGATGTCTTAATGCTGCTATTAATGTTTCAGCAATTACTGAAACTTTCGCAACACTATTCGATGATTGCAAAATTATTAGAAATGAGAAATGATAACCAAATTTATTAGCTTACGAATTTAGATTATCAAGAATTATTTGTTGTTATATTATAACTAGATACGATCGTTTCATTGCTTCCTATAAGAAAATGTATATTATCGTCAAACAGAACACTTTTATCCGCCAAAAATAACATAATGTTTGAAAATAACCTTTTTTATCTGTAAGATAGTTTTCTAGTAGAAACCGTCCCTGACGTCTCATTTCCAAAACATCGGCTGGTGCAAAAGAACGTAAAATAAAGTGAAGTTCAGGCAACCGTTGTATCGGTAATACAAACACTGCACGCCTCCAATCAAACAATTCCATAAAGGGGAGAGGTGGTTGCAATGCAGTTATTATAGGAACAGCACCAAATCGAAGAGAAGATAACAGATGTTCATGAAACACATTTGTCGAAACTTGTCCAGCTTCAAACAACAAAAGCGAAAACATAGATTCGTGATATATATCACCTGAAAACAAACTTGCAAAATTTGACCCCATCAAATTAAATAAAGCTTCTTGAAATTTATCAAACATCTCTAAAAATTACGGAACAGCAAAGAGAGAACTTTACTCATAACTACTATGAAATACTCGTTGATATTCTACATCTTTATGTTACAGCTGCTACTACCTTGCGAAATTTTAAAATATAAAACTCTGATAAAAAATCAATCTCAACACTGATAAAAAAATCCAAAAAACAATTACTCGTTTGATAAACTTCTTCTATTATTCCCAAATTTAGCTAAAGATCGAAAACGAACGCGCGACGAATTAATAGTAAAATATTTTAATTACTTCATAACTTCACTACATTGTTCCAAAAAATTTTACGACGAAGACATCCCTAACTGTTCTATCTGTTAGTTTTACCAAAATTTCAGATATGTTACACACGTACTCTTTAAAGTACAATTTTTTTTGCAACTGAAATCCAAAAACACTCGATCACCAACAGACTCCGCTGAACTTGCTAATAATCCAAGCTGTTCTTCCGCAAATGACAGAAATTTTTTCGGTAGTACACCAACACATGACAAGAGATACTATAAACTTTTTAATGACGAAATAGGACTTTGTCTTTGTGAGAAACAGAATTGCTCAAATCATTCAAGAAAAAATTTAAACTATATTCTTTGAAACTTATAACTGAAAAATGTGTTCCAATTTATATTAACAGAAATTTTCCGACTTAATTTTTAGTGAGAGTTCGCAAACAGAGTTTAGAGTTCGCGGAAAATATGTGTTACTGTAAACTAGAAAAGATTTGTTTTTTGAACCAAGGGTGAGAAAACGGGAAAGGTGAAGATTACGCCGCATTAGGTTATGATTCATCTATTTAATGTTCCTTTTATAAACTCTCGAATTACTGCGAATTATAATTGAGTTCAATAATTATATCATAAATGTATATAAATACTCAGTTAAATTTAAAAATACGCACCACAGATCACAAAATTGTGTTGCAAATTCAAATAATCTTAGTAAAAATTACTTTTCTAGCCAGCGGTAACAGCGGAGACAATTGTTTCCATCCATTCTTGTTATAGTCAGGGACTCTTACGTACAGAGATATATCAAAATTGTCTTTAAACAATCTGCAAATAAATATTTGAGAGACCAGGAATGTTGTGACCAGTTCTATAATAAATTAGAGCTATTTAACTTTTGATATGCTCAAAATTTACTTTGTCGTGAAACTAACAACAAAATAAACAGAAAACACTCACTTTACAAAATACATTTAACAAGCATGGATTTCAATATTCTTACTCTGATGGCAACAATACACAAAAATTGAAAAGTTGATTTCTTTAACTTTTATTTTAAACCATGGGTTGAATTAGCAAATAACTGGATTTTATCATTGAAAAACAGAGATCTATTAAGGAAATTAATTCACAATTCACCTATAACCATATGACGAAGAGACAATAACTGCATTTAGATAATTTCCGATCGGATTGATGCCGACATTTACGAGAACATGATTTTGACCATTATTCCAGTACTCTAGGCTTTCAATATTACTGGCATCATCTACAAATGCGAAAAAAAGGCAAGCATCATTCGGATCATTGATTAATTTGTGAAACTGGCTGAAAGAAAATCATATTGTATAACAATTAATTTTAACTGTTACATGACTAATAAATTTTTAAACAAAATTAAATGTAGCACGGAAAACAAACACATTCTGCGATTCTAGACAACTCGTGTCAGCAACAGTAAATAACTCATGTTAGATACTGATATTTTTGCGAAGGCATTTTCTTGGCAACAATGAAAAATGATAGAAAAGTCATTTCTCCGACACTTCACATTACTGATTAAAATTTTTGAATACTAAATCAACATATCCCAAATATCACATACAAAGAATTAGATTTTTGACAGTTTTGGATTTAAGAAAATGAATGCAATTGAAAATGAAAAGTAAAAAACAACCAATTGTATTTTTCCTCAAAAGACTGCATCGCATTCATGATGATTAGAAAAAAAATCAAATTTAGCTGAAAAAAAAATTATGCCAGGAAGTCATACCTGAATGTTCTGTAATAGCCAACAGCATAATCTGAAGCATTTATGCCCGGCTTGTAAACATATATACCAAAATTTCCAACAACTGAACATTTACTAAAACAAATTTTCTTAGCTTGTAATGAAAAAATGCTGTTTTGAAAAAATTGAAATCCTAGACTATTCTAATACAATAAAAGAAACTGCGAAATATTTTAACGAGTAATAACACGAGAACAAATAATCACATATTAAAGATACCTATAAATTCTAGAATATTTTTTGAAAAATATAAAAAAGTCTAATTCGTGTGAAAGAGATCAAAGAAAATGCAAAATTTATGGAGTTAATTAACAGGTTACAAAGCACAATTTATATTGCAATAAAATGATTGAAATATATTTCAATAAAGTTTCATACAAAAAAGCATCTCTAGATTAAATCTTAAAAAGCAAAAATATTACGATAAAATGTGATTTTGAGAAATCACTTCAGTCAAATTATGTGTTATAAAGATAAAAATATCTGAATTGAGAACTTTACAACCTGAAATTAAAAACAGTTTCAAATAACGTGGAGTCCGAGATTTTTTTGGCCATTTCATTCTTATATTTGATGCCTGGCATGAATATAGGAGCCACTGGGAGATGAAGTGGTATACGGTTTTTACGTAGTAGTTCTTGATGATATAATTCAGTGTCTTCGATGTCTAACAATAAAATTCTTAAATCGTTTTCTGAAAATCAACATATCAACAAATCAAAACGCTGAGAAGATTTCTCAAATATTTTTACAATTAAGTCTATTAAATCCAATTTTCGATTATGGCAACACATGTTAAGACAGCATGAAAAATGAATATAATACATGATTTGAGTATGTGTCAGTTTTATTTTTCCTAAATAACAATCTCATTATAGAGAGAAAATACGAATAAATATTTTCAAATACTACGTACTGGCATCAGCCATTTGCTTGGTGACCAATTCGTGTTGTAAGTTTACATTTTCTAG